CTTAGAACAGGTCTTCAACTTAACAGGGCCCTTCTAGACTTGTATGTAGTTATTGTGTAATATTTTTGTTTCATCCTTTTTGAACTCATACATTTATAATTATTACCATTATTTTTAAGATTGTTATTAGTAATACCATTATTTTATGTAAACTGTATTGAAATTTACTTATATGCTTACCGTTTTCTTTGTTTACCATCCTTTCTTATGTCTCAGACTATATTTATGGAATATTTTTCTTCTTCACTGGAGTGCATCTCTTAGAAGTTCCTTCAGTAAAAATTTAATTGTGGCAAAGCTCTTTAGTTTGTCTGAAAATGTCTTTATTTTGCTCGTATTCTTGAAAGATTAGTTTTGCTGGGTATAGAGTTCTAGATTGCTGATTATTTTTACTTATCCCTTTGAAGCTATTCCACAGACTTTCATTGTTTCTGTTGAAAAAGTCTACCTTTATTTTAATTGTAAAATTAGGGACATAAATATATTCTAGTTTGGAAATGGTATTGTAATCTTTGTTGTTGTTGTTATGTGCCATTGAGTTGGCCCCGACTCATAACGACCCCTCCTTGGGTTTCCGAGGCAGTATCACTACAGAAGTAGGATTGCCTAACCTTCCTTCCGAGATTGTAGTCTTTATTCTGTATCTTATTTTAGAGGTAGCTTTCACTAATTTGAGCCTGAGAAATAGCAATGCCAAAACAAAGGTGACACTTTTTGCCTCTTTGTCATCTCTGGGAGAAATAGTGAAAAACCTCAGAAATACAGAGTGGAGTCAGTCATCTTAATTTTCTTGTTAACTTGGGTACAGTTGTAACTCCTTTTCATTTGCATACTCAGTGTTGGATGCCTCTCTCTAGTATGCATCTCATGACTTGGTGTTCCACTCTTGGGTCAGCATTTGAGCGCGCAGGTCTATAGTGTCTGGGAGAGGTACAGGAATGTGTACTTTGGGAAAGCATTTGGCTTTGTTGGTGTTTGCATCAGAGCTATGTTTAAAGAAACATTTGCTTTTCTCTGAATTACTTCTTTGTGTCAAAGTGGAGGACAATTTTTAAAACTACTGTTAATTGAACTTGTATAATGAGTGAAATCTGTGTTGTACTTCAGTTGCATATCCATTTGAGAGATTTCCTTTATGACTGAATTATTAGTGTACTTATGGTGGTGTGACCCAATAAGGGACGCTTATTTTCTGTAGGAGACTTAAGACTTAAGCTGTTGAGGTCAGTGGGCATCTTGTTCAGAATCATTTATAAAAATACATCTTGTTGTTACTGAGCCCCCTTATTTGTGACTTTTTTGTCTATCACTGGATCTCGTTTTTGGAGAGATGGGCTTCTGAAGAAGCACAGACAGGGAGTTTGTAGAGTTGTTAACTTACGCTTCCTGTATTACTGATTCACGGGGCGTTCCGGTGGAACACCTCTGCCCTGTGCGGTCCGTGTGCCTTTATTCCTCTCAGCCAAATTCTGTTTATCAAACATTTGCTGAACATCCAGTATGTGCCAGGCCCTGTGCTACATGCTGGGAAAACAAAAGTTAATTCATTCTGTCCCTGCAATCCAAACAGAAGACAGAATAATAATTTGAATAATCAAATAAAAAAACTAAAACGCTGTGACGTGCCTTAATAGAAATTGTAGATGCAGAGTTGAAAAGTAATACCAAAGAGGGAGCATTTCCTGAATGAGCCCATGCCATGGTTTCGTGGACGAGAAGATGCCGGGATAGGGTGTGAACATGCCATGGTTTCGTGGACGAGATGATGCCAGGATAGGATTTGAAGGATACACGAGGGCTGTGCGTCAAGCTGTCTATCCAGAATAGTCAGCCAGCCGTCAGCTGTGGAATCCGTATGTTAAGACCCAGAAGCTGCCATCCTCTCTTAGGGGCTTGTAATGGACATCTTGGGACTTCAGAGCACTGACAGTTCTGTGCCGTTCTTTGCTGTTCACACTTGACCAGCTGGACTGGCTTGGATGTGCTGCTCCTCAAACCGAATTGGGCATCATGGGGAAGCTGGTTGGTTTGCCCTGTCAGGCATTTCTGCCTCTTTCCAGAGGTCCCAGGACTTAGAAGCAACCCTGGTGTGTAGTTGCTGCTTTTCCTCAGTTACTTCTTAGCTTGGTATTGTTTAGCTTATCACCACTTTGTAGGAACAATTGTCTGTTCACATATGATTTTCTTGTTTTCCTTGCTCTCTGCCCCCTGGGACATTCCTTCTAAAACAAGGGGCTCAGACCCTGTCTCTCTCTCGCCACAGAGATGGGGAGCCCTGCCTCCCCCTTCATGGCCACAGAGACGGGGAGCCCTGTCACCCCTGCGGTGGCCACAGAGACGAGGAGCCCTTTCTCCCCCTTGGTGGCCACAGAGACAGGGAGCCCTACTTACGCCTTGGTGGCCACAGACACAGGGAACCCTGTCTCTACCCTCAATGACCACAGAGATGGGGAGCCCTGTCTCCCCCTCGGTGGCCACAGAGTTGGGGAGCCCTGCCTTCCTGCTTCCATGTCCTGAAGGGCCTGCTGCAGTCTTCCCCAGCCTCCCCCTGATCAGCAGGTGCCCTAAGCAGGCCCAGCCTCCAGGTTCCTTTTGCTTCTTCAACTTCCTTCTGCTCCCAGAGTGCTAGGCTGGAGTGGGTGTGGCTCTGTAGGCCTTGTTTTTGTTTGCTTGTTTTGTCCTTCCTGCCCCTGGAACATACTGGAGTAAAATCATGACAGTCCTTAGCCCTCACTGAACTTCCTCTGGGCCAGGTGATGTGCCAGACGCTCCTTAACTGTCTGTTCTTACATTCACCCCGGAGGTAGGTATTTCCAGTTGACAGTTGAGCAAACTAAAGCTCAGAAAGACTGAGTAATTTGCCTGAGGCCACACACTAGTAAATGGAAGAGCTGATACCTGAACCCACCAGAGCACAGACGCATGGAAGCAAAACATGAGACGAGAATTCAGATCCCAGCTTTGCCCCGTTTCCTCTGGTGACGGAGCCAGAAACAGTAGTTATTGAGGTGGACACTCAGCAGTACCTGTTTTCCTGGCAGCCCCAGGATCCACGTCTCCTCTGTCTTCGCTCCGTTGCACCATCTTGGTGTATCCTCTGACTGGGTGCCATTGTGTACCCACCTTGCTGCCCAGGGCTCATCTTCCTAAAAACCCCATCACATCCCCTCCCTCTGCTGCATCAAAACCCTCTGGTTCCCTAGCTCCTTCAGGACAAAAGTCATGCAACGTTGCCTCCAATTTAACTCCCGCTGCACTCACTGGAAGAAGCTTTGGTGGTGTAGTGGTTAAGGCATTTGGCTGCTAACCAGAAGGGCAGCAGTCAAACTCACAAGCTGCTCTGTGGGAAGAAGATGAAGCAGTCTACTTTCATAAAGATTTACACCCTTGGAAACCCAGTGCGGGGTTCAACAAGTCAGAATTAACTTGACGGCAGTGAGTCTGATTTGGTGGTTGTGAGCGCTGGCCCCAGAGTGTTCCCAGCTCCAGTGAGGCAAAGCTGAAGGTGCTCAGCCTTCGTCCCGGGTTCATCCGCTGGGCATGGGTCATGTTGGTTGCAAACATGTGCCATCCATGGCCTCCAGGCCCCCTCCCTGCCTCGCCCCCCAAGCCTGGGCCCTCAGCATTCTGCTGAGGCATCACCTGCTCCTAGGAGCCCTTCGCCAGATGCTCCCGTTGGGTTGATGGCCCCCACTGCTCATCTGTGCCACCACAGAGGGTCGTGTTCTGGGTGCTTGTCTCCACCACTGGCCTGAGAAGTTCTCCAGGGCAGGGCTTGTATCTGGGCGTTGGTTCGTTCTTGCAGTCAGTAAGTACCTGCTGAGGGAGATGCGTATGCTCGTCGTTGACGGGGCTGGGATAGTAGGCACCAGCAGCCTCTGGATGGCCCGTCCTCCAGGACTCTTAGGTACTTTGGGAGGTGTGTAGGGAGTGTTGTAACCACGGTGCATGCTGAGAGGGAGAGGTAGGGACTGTCGTGTGTGTCTTGGGAGGGAGGGTGAGGGCAACAGCAGCTTCTCCAAGGCAGTGACGTTTGGGCCCAGGCCTGAGTGGAGCACGGCGCCTGGAAGGAACTAGAGTCGGAGGAGCATGGGAGCCTGTGAGAGAGATAGCCGGGGGCCAGGCTCCAGAGGTCTTGTCGCCAGGGTAAGGCCTTTGGATTCTAGCAAGCACCGTGGGGAGTGACATGATCGTATTTACATTCAAAAAAGATCACTCTGGCTGCTGAGGAGTGGATTGGGAAGAGGCCCAGTGCAAGTGTGGAGGCTATTGCCCTAGTACAGACATGGAGGCAGTGACGCTGCCCGGAAGTGGACACTCAGGAGCTCCTAGGAGGTAAACAGACAGGGCCTGCGCCTGGGGGGCGGAGGGAGAGGGCGGGCCTGCGCTCCCGGGTGTGGCCCGAGCAGCTGGTCACTCAGTAGGTGCTGGAGGTGGCTGGCTGGCGGACCACGGTGACCCTCCCTCTGTGCCTCCAGACCAGGGTCCGCCCAGCAGGCCCCGAGGCGGCTCCTGGCCAGCAGCCTTGCTTCTGAGCTCGGTGTAAGCCTTAGCTGCACCTTGCCCAAGTGTAGGACGGTGATGAACAAGTCAGACCGTTTCGATCCATGATTCCGGAGTTGAACTTTTAGCAGCGATCGTTAAAATGTCAAATGGAGACTAAGCCACGGGAGCAGATCTTATGAAAATGGACCATGTGTAAAATGTGGTGAGAGCGGAGCCTTAGCTGTTATCAAATTGTCGCCAGTTTGTTCAGATGTGTTCCTTGAGGCATCACTGCTTTCAAACCCACGTCCAGTTGAAGTGCGATGTTATGTATCGTCCTAGGAACCCCTCCAGCCAGCACTTTGTGAAACGTGCCCCTCATGGGCCCACTGGGCCCTGGTGCCCATGGCCACAGCCCACGGGGCTTCCAGTGACCGTGTGTCTGCTTGTAGTGTAACTGCGTGGGTGAGCAGAGTGTTGACCTTGATATGTGATTAGAACGTTTTGTTTTGTAGGCTTTACCGCCAGCACCTGTTCAGAGTCACACAAATAAGCCTCAGGTATTCAGTGCGCCTCTTCAAGACCATATTTACCCGAGCTGTTTTGGGAGCACTCCAGAGTGGAATAGTTCTAAGTTTATAAGTCTGTGGGGATCAGAAGTGATGAATGATAAGAACTGGAATCCTGGCACTTTCTTGCCAGATACAATTTCTGGTAAGGAATTTGTTAACGATTTCTTAAAGTTTTAAAGTAATGTGAGCTGAGTAGATGCACCATGTTGTTGTCGCCTTCCAGTAGAAGCCCTAGAACAGGCCAGAGCCGGCATGCAGTTGGGCCCGGCTGTATCTCGCCCTTGCCTCTGGTGCTAGTGGGGACCTTGTGGGCCCCGCCATCCCGCTCCATCCTCACACATCTGCCCGGGCCACCACTGTGCTCACTGAGCAGAGCAGGCCCCTGATATGAGAGGCCCAGTGAGCCTCACCCTGGGCTCTGCCCATGCTGGGCTCACTCTCTCTCCCCTTACTAAGGGTTGTCTCTAAGGTTCTGAGTGTGGCTTCTGACATTTACTTGGCTCTCATGCAGTGGTGACAACCAGACCCAAATCCCGTGCACAGGAGTTGGGGCCCAGGCCCACAGGCGACTTGAGTGCTGCGACTCACCTGCCTTCCTCTGGGTCCTGAATTGACCCTACATGGGATCTGTCCCCTCCTGAAGCTCCATCCCCCAGCTGCCTCGGCCACTGTGGCTTAGCTGTTAACTGCAGTGGGCCGGCACCCCCACCTCATCTGTCTTCACATGGCAGGAGCCCCTGGGGACCTGCTTCCAGCCCCTGCATGTGCTCAGAACAGCAAGCTGGACTGTGCATCCTGACAAGTGCTTGGAAAGGATTGCTAGCTGTGTGACCTTGGACAAGTTGCTTAGCCTCTCTGAGCCTCAGTTTCTTCATCTTTTGGGTAGGAATACTTGTACCACCCTCAGATGCTAGCTTTAAGACATTCAGTGACGTAATTTCTGAGAAGCATCTAGCACAGGAATTGGCACATTGTAGGTGCTCATTGAATTCTGTTTTCTTAGCTGAAAAACCAGCTGCCTAGCACCATCCCTGGAATCCTAACTTAAGGGAAAGCCCAGAATTAATGTTTAGGCATCAGCATGTCCTTTAGATTTTGGCTAAATATGGTTTCTCTCAGGAGCCTTATTTTTCCCGTTCTTCTCTGAAGGGGGTGATCTACTAGGGCCGGCGCTCTCAGAAACAAGACCTGAAGCCCTTCCACCTCCATCTAGCAGCGACACACCTGCCGTCTCGGACAGTAAAGAGAAAAAAAACGCTGCAAAAAAGAAATGCCTGTACAATTTCCAAGATGCTTTCCTGGCAGCCAACAAAGTTGTCATGGCGACCTCATCTGCCACATCCTCTGTCTCCTGCACGGCCACCACAGTGCAGTCCAGCAACAGCCAGTTCAAGGTGTCGTCCAAGAGACCGCCTTCCATAGGTAAGGCCACGGCCGTTGGGGGCCCTGGCGATTGTTCTGCCTGTTTTGCTTCTTGTTCGTCACCATCTTCGTCTGTGCCTTGCTATTCGCCAGCCAGAGGTTTTAACGTAATGATTGTCCCAGACGCCATTCACCTGCAGAGAGTATGACGTTCAGGACTTAGCTGGGAAGTGAGCAGCAAGACCAGAGTCCCTTGGGGCTCTTGCCTTTGGTCTCTGCACCGATTGCTGTGTGACAGGAGGGGTCTGTGCTTTCCGAGCATCGATAGGGGGGTGCCCACCCCAAGCTGTGGGGAGATAAGTGGGTGTAGCACACTGAGTAAAGTCAGGAACCTAAGGACCCGTAAGGACACTGCAGACGGGGAGTAGGCCAGAGGCTCCTCTTTGCAGAAGCATGCCAGGCAGTAATGGTGTCAGAGTGCGGGACACAGAGGTCACCCCTGTCCACCCACCAGACTCCTCAGTGACGGAGCATCACCTGTGACATTGCAACCTTTGGCTGTCCACTTGGGGAATGTGCTGGGTCTGCAGTCTGAGAGCCTCACCCCCATGGAACTGGGCAGCGGTATGTGAGCGGATTCCTGCTCTCCAGCGTGGACTTGTAGACGGAGTGTGCTGCCGGTCATGGTGGGGTGGATCCTCCTGAGTCTTCTAGGTCAGGTCCAGATTGTGGGGCACCTGGTCCAGACTCTTAATTAAATGTCAGCACTGTGGAAGGGGAAAGAAGAGGTTCCAGGAGGCGGGTTGATGAAGAGCATTGCAGAGCACGTTTGGGGGAGCAGAATGGTGAGTGCAGGGTGTATGGCAGGTGGCAGTAATGTGCCCGGGGTAGGAGTGCTGATGTACTGTGACCGTACAGAGAAAAGGCGTGTTCCCAGGCACTCACATGGACGAGTCCGGGGCAGATACAGCTCCCTTCCAAATGTTGTTGCTGGTAGGTGCCATTGAGTTGGCTCTGACTCATAGCGACACCACGTATAACAGAACGAAACACTGCCTGGTCCTGTGCCAGCCTCACAGTCCTTGCTATACCTGAGCCCATCATTGCAGCCACTGTGTCCACCCATCCTATTGAGGGCCTTCCCCTTCTTTGTTGACCCTCCACTATACCAAGCATGACATCCTTCTCCAGGCAGTGCTCCCCTCTGACAACATGACCAAAGTAGGTGAGATGAAGTCTGGCCATTCTCGCTTGTGAGGAGCATTCTGACCCCACTTATCTTCGAGGACAGGTCCGTTTGTTCTTCTGGCAGTCCACGGTACTCTCAGCATTCTTCACCAGCACCACGGCTCAAAAGCATCACCTCTTCTTCAGTCCTCTTTATTCACCGTCCGGGTCTCACATGCACGAGGCGATTGAAAGCACTATGGCCTGGGTTAGATACACCTTAATCTTCAAAGAGGTATCTTTTCTCTTCAGCACTTGAAAGCGGTCTTTTGTAGCAGATTTGCCCAGTGCATTATGGCATCTGATGTCTTGACTGCTGCTTCCATTGGTGTTGATCACGTAACCAAGTAATAGGAGATCTTTGACAACTTTAATTTTTTTTTCCATTTATCATGATGCTGCTTATTGGCCCAGTTGTGAGGAATTTGTTTTATGTTGAGATGTAATCCATACTGCAGACTATAATCTTCAGTCTTCATCAGTAAGTGCTTCAAGTCATCCTCACTTTCAGCAAACAAAGTTGTGTCATCTGCATATTGCAGGTTGTTAATGAGTCTTTCCTCCAATCCTTATGCCGCACTCTTCTTCATAGAGTCCAGCTTCTCGGATAATTTCCTCAGCATACAGATTGAATAAGTGTGGTGAAAGGATACACCCCTGACACGCTCCCTTCCTGATTTTAAACCATGCTGTATCCCTTTGTTCTGTTTGAACAACGGCCTCCTGGTCTGTGTACAGGTTCCTCATGAGCACAATCAAGTGTTCTGGAATTTCCATTCTTCTCAATGTTACCCATAATTTGTTATGATCCACACAATCAAATGCTTTTGCATAGTCAGGAAAACACAAGTAAACATCTTTCTGGTATTCTTTGCTTTCAGCCAAGATCCATCTGACATCAGCACTGATATCCCTTGTTCCATATCCTCTTCTGAATCCAGCTTGCATTTCTGGAAGTTCTCTCAATATACTGCTGAAACTGTCTTTGAATTATCTTCAGCAGGATTTTACTTATATTAGTATTAATGGTATTGTATGATAATCTCCACATTTTGTGAGATCACTTTTCTTTGGAATGGGCACAAATATGGATCTCTTCTAGTGAGTTGGCCAGGTAGCTGTCTTCCAAATTTCTTGGCATAGACGAGTGAGTGCCTCCATCATGGCATCCATTTGTTTGAAGCATCTAAACTGGTATTTTGTCAATTCCTGGAGCTTTGTTCTTTGCCAGTTCCTTAAGTGCAGCTTCAAACTTCTTCATTCAATACCGTTGATTCTTGATCATATGCTGCCTCCTGAAATGGATGAACATGCATCAGTTCTTTGTGGTACAGTGACTCGTGTATTCCTTCCATCTTCTTTTGGTGTTTCTTCCATCATTCAACTTATTCCCCATGGAATCTTTCAGTATTTGAATTCAAGGCTTAAATTTTTTCCTCAGTTCTTTAACTGGAGAAATGCTGAGTGTGTTCTTCCCTTTTGGTTTTCTAACTCTAGGTCTTTACACATTTCATTATGATAACTGACTTTGTCTTCTCGAGCTGCTCTTTGAAATCTTCTGTTCAGCTTTTATCCTGTCGATTCTTCTATTTGCTCTAGCTACTCTCTGTTCATGGGCAAATTTTAGAGTCTTTTCTGTCATCCATCTTGGTCTTTTCTTCCTTTCCTGTCTTTTTAATGACCTTTTGCTTTCTACATGGATGATGTTCTTGGTATCATCCCACAGTTCCTCTGGTTTTTGGTCATTGGTGTTCAGTGCATCAAATCTCCTGTTTAGATGGTCTCTAAGTTCAGTAGGGATGTAATCAAGGTCATGTTTTGGTGATTCAGGCTCTTCTTGGTGGTTTTTTATCGTTGGCCTGTTGGTGGAGAAGGAGATAGTGGCTCTCACTCAGTAAGTGAAGTTGCAGGTGGTGTGGGTGTAGTTGTGTCTTATGGGGACTGTTGTTGTCTCCCACTTAGTTAGACACAAATTACAATTGAATAACCATCAAAAAACTAAAAGCACATGGACAAAAAACACACCATGTAATCACATAGGAACAGTAACCAAAAACAGAAAAAAAGGGAAAAAGAAGAAGAAAAAACAGGAAAACCTGCAATATCTGGGGATCGGGCACTAAGAGAAAAAAAGGAGAGAAGGAGAATAATGAAGGGAAAAAAAAATGGGAAAAATGCAAAAAGAAAAAGAAGGAATGGGGTTAACCACGAGAAAAAAGGGGGAAAAAATTTAAAAAATTCAACCAGGAACAGGAAAAGAAAAAGTGCTGAAAACTAGGACCTGGGAAGGGAAGATTAATAATAATAGTAAAAAGGACAAAAGTAGTAATAATAATAGTTGTTTTAAAACAGACAAATAAAGGCAAACTAATCACCAGAAAAAAGAAAGGGAAAAAGGAAAAAACACAAAAATCGGTGGAGGACAGGGCAGGGCACCCAGGCTCCCTCTGAGCACACAGACTGTGATGGAGGTCCTGGAGGCCCAGAAGGTGGGGGGGGTGGGGGATGGTTGCACCACCTCCGTTCACCAAGCGTGTGTGGGGTATAAGAGTAACAAGAGGAATGTTGTACCTTTTCAGTCTTGAGGGTCTGGAGTGACCTTGGGGTTGCTGGAAAGCAGAACGTGTTCTTAAGCCCCAGGAATCTGCGAGTGCGCTGTCTTTTTAAATATCCAAAATAGTCAAGCCGCTTTTAACCTTCAAAATGGTGGTGCCCTCCGGACCAGCAAAAGTCCACAGCTCAGCCCGCCTTTCTCTTCACCTTCTCCGTTTATTTCCCAACACCAGAGCAGTCCCCTGTGCAGTCCCTGGCTAGCAGGCCTGATTTTTAGGTTAATTCGTAGGTCCTACCACCACTCGGGAATCTCCAAGCTGTCTGTGCCCTCAGGATTGCTGCCAGACCACAGCTCCGTATGTCTCTTTTTTTGGTATTTTCACGCTAATTCTTCTGCTAGTTGGGGTTTAGTCCACTTCTGTATCCTTCCCTTCAAGGCTCAGGGGTCCAAGATTATCTTCTGTATCTGTGTTAATTGGTGTCCCTTTTCTTTGTTGAAGGGGGTCTGTGCAGTCTTTCTGCCTAGTCCCCCATGTTGCCGGAACCCTCCATTGATAATTGGAACATGGATTTGTATGAAGTATCAATCTAGGAAAATTGAAAGTTGTCAAAAATGAAATGGAACGCATAAAGATTGTTACCCTAGGCATTAGTGAGCTGAAATGGACTGGTTTTGGCCATTTTGAATCAGACAACCATGTGATCTACTATGCCAGGAATGACAGTTTAGAGGAATGGCATGGCATTCATCATCACAAAGGGTGTTTCAAGATCTGTCCTGAAGTACAGTGCTGTCAGTGATAGGATATTATCCATATGCCTACAAGGAAGACCCGTTAATAGGACTGTTGTTCAAATTTATGCGCCAACCACCAAAGCCAAACATGAGGAAATTGAAGATTTTTATCAACTTCTGCACTCTGAAATTGACCAAACATGCAATCAGGATGTCTTAATTATCACTGGTGACTGGAATGCAAAAGTTGGAAACGAAGAATCAGCGGTAGTTGGAAAATTTGGCCTTGGTGACAGAAATAATGCTGGAACTCACATGGTAGAATTTTGCAAGACCAATGACTTGTTCATTGCAAACACCTTTTT